AAGAGTGTGAGTGTAAAGGGGTAGTTGTGTAAGATTACTCTGAAGAAGGGTCTTGGATGTTCAGCTGAACACTGAGCAGCCAGTTAGAGGATGCTGGAAGGCAGCTGCAGTGTGTCTGTGTCCCAGTTCCCCTGTGTGAGGGGCCTCCTGTGGGGCTGTGCCTGTGCCCAGGGTGACCCTCAGTGCTGCCCCACTGCCCCCTGGCTGGCACAGCGTGGGGAGGAAAGGGCATTAGTAGGAAGTTCCCCTTCCTGCTTGTTGATGGCCTGTTTGCTTTCCTTTGCAGCGGTGCAGGAGTCAGAGGTGAGTATGTCTCTCCTTCCTTTCTCTTTGTGGGGAATGTGTTGAAATGGGATTTGAGAGGGGCCCAGCAGTGGCTCCTGCCCTTAAGGAATAATCCCAGGTGTGTCTGGCAGTAGTGGGAGGAGCAGGAATTGCTGATAAAAGCTGCTAAAACCTGACTGTTCATATTCTGTGTTTTCCTCTGATGTGTCCTAAAGCGTGAACAGCATGGTCAGGCCTTGAGGGTCATCGAGGAGAAAGGGGATCAAACAACTGTTCCTGTGCAGGAAGTGGGTGCTGACTCCATAGAAACCAGGCCTGAATTACAGAGTCTTGTTTGAAGCATGACAGACAATGGGGATGGTTAAAAACAAGGAAGCACAAACCCTTTTCTTCTGCAACTCTGTGAAGGAAAAGTCCGCTTGGGAATGAAAAGGAGGGTTTGCAAAGGAGGTAATGAAATAGCCCAGTGGCATCTTGGGAAAGAAACATCAAGGTCTGAAAGAGCTGAGTGATCAAGGGAGTGTCATCAGCAGCTGGAAATCTCTTCTGTTATCCATCCCCTTCATGGAGCAGTGGGCTGTGTGGAATGCCTGCAGTTCTCTTTTCCTTCCCCCATGGGCAGTGGACACCTGGTACTCACTAATTATTCCTGTGTTGCTTGTTGGATTTTTTTCATTTCTCATGACTCACACATAGGAGAGTTTCCAAATGCCTTTTGTACAGAGTTTTGTTGTGACTGTTGTGTTTTGGTTTTGGTTTCGCTTTTATTTACTTTTTTTTTTTAAGTGCAAATAATGGCATAATTCTCATGTTTTGAAACCCTTTGTATTGCAGTAATTGTGGAAGGACAGACTGCCTACAGTTTCTGTCACTCCCAGCTATTTTTGTACAAAAATTACTGCCACAATTCCGAAGTTCTGGAAGTATCTGAACCTAAAAGAGGCACAGCCTTTGCTGATTCTTTTGTGTCTGCTGAGAATTGGTTTTGCTTTTGGTGGTCAAATAAGAGACAAGTCAAAAGACAGTTCTGACAATTCCTTCCGAAAACTCCAGTAGCACCCAGCAAATCCACAACTGGTTTTGTTTTTGCTGGTTTGTGGCTGGTCTGTCTGTGTAATAACGAACACTAAAAAGAGGAATTGGGAAAGTAATTTTTTTTTTTTCTTTTACCTTTTTTTCTCTTTGTTAAGTTCTTTAGTAGCTGGTTAATGTTTCATTAACTTTGGATATTCTCCAGCATTTCCAACTGTAGAAACTGGTAATTGTTAACCCCTTCTTGTCTCTCTGCAACACCCCTGCATGAAGGGCCCATTGTTGAATAAAAAGCTTTTTGAGCAAACTTTCGAGATAAAGCCACATCCCCAAATGGAGAAAGTTCAGAGAACAATGACAGGGCACCTTCAGCTGTCTCTGTGCTGCAACCAATCTTCTGCTAAGTTGTGTTTTGGTTTTTTTTTTAATCTTCTAATGGCTTATCTTGTGGCTGAAGGCCCTCTTTGTCATCCTGCTGCTGCACCTGCACCTCTGTGACCTGCAGCTTTGGACAGACTTCAGATCTTACAGCTCTGCAACCATCAGTGCTTCCTGCAGCTCACAGGTGGCAGGTGTTAGTGCTGGGATTTTTAAGTGTTGAGGCAGCAATTGCTCCAAAGACGTTTTTGCAAAGAAATATCTGTCCTCCAGCCCCATAACTATGCGACTTTCAGTGACTACACTTGCAGGTAGAAGCTGCTTGTAGGTGAGCTGGGAGCTGTGCACAGCCAGGTGAAGAGGTGCACCATCAACCAGGGCCACCCATCTACCGGCTAGAAATGAAATTTTTGGGTGCTGCCACAGCAGGGTGTTTAATGTCTGCACCAAGGATGTGTTTCATGGAGTCTGAAAAAAACTGTCTTTTAGTGTGTTTTGGAAGCTGGAGCCGGGTGTGTCGCCAGGTGGCAGCATGGGAGAAGGAAAGGTTTGTTCCTCGTTCTGGAAACCGCCGGGATTGTCCTTCTTTTCCTAAAGATGTAATAAATAAAGCTTCTCTGATGCCCAATTGCCCACGAGCCTAAAATGCAGTGGAGCGCCTCTGGGTACAGGATTTCCCACAAGGCTGAAGTGGTTTAGGATTGTGGGAAAGAGACGCAGTGGTCAAGAGTAGTTCAGTGCCCTTTCCTGGGCGTTTGGAGCCTGTCTCTTCTCTCCAGTCCTGTGTCACCCAGGGCATCAGCGGCTGCTGGGAGATGGGGCTGCCACTGGAGAGGGGAGTGGGAGTGCAGAGGGGGTACAGCGGGGGAGTGGGGCTGTGAGGGGAGGCTGGGGCTGTGAGGGGAGGTTGGAGTTCTGTGCACTTGGCACTGACACAAAGTGACAGCTGGGGAGAGCCTTCTGCAGGGTGGGAGGTGGGATAAACTTCGATGAAAAAAATGAAGAAACTTCCATGTGCTGTGATGATCACTTGGAAACCCTCCCAGGCACGTGTGAATTGTCCCTTTACCAGGTGCATGTGCCTGAACCCCACTGGCCCATCTCCAGAGCCGAATGATTTTGCAGAGTTAGGACACTGGCAGTGTGACCTCCTGCCCCTGAGCCCCCAGAGCTCTGAGCCCCTTCCTGTGCCTGGCACACACACACACACTGCTGTCCCTCGCCCCAGTTCCCTCGTGGGGGGCAGTGACCCCCTCCCAGTCTGGGGTCGGGCAGTTTGTCAGTCCCTCTGCTGAGACCTGAGTGAACAAATGCAATTCCCACGGCCAGAAGAGGCCTGTGAACATGGTGACAAAGCACAGCAGCTTGTACTTTTAAAGGGGTTTTCTGTGCCAATCTGACTTTACAGGATCAAACCTTTTGCTAGTGGGGTGCTGAGATCTGGGAAGCAAAGGAATAGTGTGATTTAGCACCTGGTAAGCTCTAGAAAAATGGAATATCCTGAGCTGGAAGGATCATCATGCCCAACTCGTGGCCCTGCACAGAGAATCCCATCATGATTTCACACAAGTAGCTACTGCCTTGCTTTCCAGGGATTTCTGTGCTAGAAAGAAAAGCATTTGCTGAAAGAGTATTTAAAATTCACTGTGAAGTGTTGAAAGTTTAAAACATTCTCATTATGGTAAGATGCTTACCAAGGAAAGCCACCCAATCCTCTCCATGGGGAAATCCTTGCTGAATTGGCCACTGTGATTTTTTTTCTTTTAAATTTTATTAAAAATTAAGACGTGTTACATTTTCAAGTGTAAATACTCAAAAATAGCCTATGGCAAAATGAAAAGGCACAGGATTAAAACCAGCTTAATTGTTTCCATGGATACATGTTTGCTATTTGGCAAAAAGTATTTTTATACACTTTCTACAAGAATAAGCATCATTTTAAATATATCTCTGAAGGGTGGGACCCTGTAATTTAACCATGACGACAGAATTTGTACTCCTAAAATGTGCTAATTCTAGTGATGCGTCACTTGAAGGTTGTTCTTTGGAGCAGAGGAACTCAAGTGCAGGAGGAGAGTGCAACAGGCATCTCGACACAGGGCTCACTGCGTGACATGTCACGACAAATAGCAATATCTGACAGCAAAGCAAAGTGCAGGGGTACAGACAGCAGAGTTTACAGCAGCTCTAGCCTGATTTGGGGAAGAACGCACCAGAAATTGGATCAGAACACCGGGAATGGATCAGTGAAACATCTCACACGTTTGCTGAGCCCCAGACGGTGGAGTTAAGAATATTAAAATTATTGTTCCTTTCTGAAAAATAGATTTGTGGCTGTTTGTCGGTTTTGTTTTCGCTTAAGAATCAGTCCTTGTAACCCTGATGCAGCGGATTGATAACAGTCAGGATGTCGTTGGAAACAGTCGCTCTGGCCGGGGACACGCCGTGGGCTCCGGCACAGCCCCGAATCCCCGCGATCCCAGGGGCTCCTGGTGGCACTGGGACAGCTCAGTGCCGTGGATCTGTGACTCCCACTCCAGCAGCTGCCCCGTCAGCCCTGGCTGGGACTGAGCAGAACGCCAGGCACGGCCCTGCCACGAGCTGTGTGTGGTGGCACCGGAGCGGGTCACCCTCCCCCTGTCCCTCTGTCACCACACCCGGCATTTCCCTGCGGGGTGCATGGCTGTGCCCTTCTTACAGTGGAACACCTCGGAGAAGGCTTCAAAGTTCTGCAAGGATCCCATCACCCTGAGCAAAGAGAAGGCACTTATTAACATGGAGACACTGCATGCAGATTGCTCCTCTGGGGAACAGAGAGAGCCGTGTCCAGAAAGGGTTTGGAGCCTCAGAACTCGACTGCAGTTCAGAACACGGGATCCTTTCTGCAAGGACGTGCAGGTAACGTGACCAGTGAAACACCAGAACAGAGTGGGTCTGGGACCTGCTCATTCCCTAAGGATTGGCAAATTCCCCAGGCCATGTGCTCTCCAGCAGCGTGCTGCAAGCCATGGCAGAAATCCTGAAAGTTAAGTTTGGATTTATCTGGTGTGTTATGAAACTCTCCCTCTGGGCTGCCTTGGTGCCAGGGGGTGAATGAAGTGAGCTCCGAGTCAGTAAATCAGTAAAACCCACCTGTACTTCAGAGGGCTGTGCACGTCTGTCTTTATGGACTGGCTGGCATACTCTGGTCTGTAGGAGCCACACCAAACCTGGACAGGGAGCATTAACAATCAGTGGGTCAGGATTAAAGGGAGTTCATTTTGGGAACTCTCTCACTTATTTTCAAAGTTTTCCTGAGAGCCATCCCAGTTTGTTATGATATCGCTGGAGGATGTTTTATAGAGAGGCAGAATAGATGCAAGTATTTACTAATTAGTTTTTGTTTTACAAAGTCTTGGATCAAGATCTGATGCTTTGGGATCAATCTATCAGCAGGTGATTTCACCAGGTGTTTCCTTCATCACATGTGAGGCCTGAGGGACAACCCTGACTGTTCTTACCTGGGCAAAGTTGAGGAAGAAAAGCTGTTTGTGGGACAGGTTCAGTCCAGGAAGCTTTGGCTCCTTCCCTTCCCGTTCCAGCCACTTCAAATAGGCCTGGAAATGATCATAAATCCAACTCAGAGGAGCAGCAGGAGGGGGATATTGAATGTTTTGTTGGGGTGGGAGGCTTTAGCCGCAATATGAATGAACCCAACACATTTCCCTTCTGTACTTCTGTGGGTTTTCTCTCTCTAATACAACAGTACTGAGAATTTTATGACAAAGCTGTCAGCATAAGCTGACTTCCACAGGAATTTGTATCTGGATATAAAGTGTTAAGTCTCCTCCAGAGCTCTAGAGTGATGATTTTTCTCTCTTCAGGTAACTGCTCATAAAATAGCAGATAACAACCTTGCTCAATGTTAAATCCATTACCTGTTATTGTTACACATTAATTGGCCAATTTGCTTTTTTTAGCTATATTGACATGATGGAGACAAGTTAATGTGTTCTCATGCTGGTTAATTCCCAGTGTTCTGTTTCTGCAGCCTCTCTGTTGCTGAGATAGTCCCAAAGCACATGAAACAAAAGGGAGAGCTGAGGGTAAAAATAGATCCAGCACCACAGAACATCCCTGGATTCTGTAAGCAGGCAGTTTGTGTCATCCCACTCTGCTCCTGCACACCTACAATGGCTTTTGAAACAGTTCTAACGAAGTCATTAATTGGAATGTTGCCCCTCGGGGTCAGAAATGTCAGTTTTCTGAAAATTCAGGTCGGGCTATGAATACCCTCAACTAGTGCCATACCCAAAACACCAAAGATAAAAAAGTTGTACTGGGACACCTGGAAGGGTCATTTGCAGGGGAGAACACTCCCTGCTCACCCTGGAGCTCCACCTTTGGGCTGTTCCTGGGTCCAGGAATGGCAGATCCTACTCTGGCTGGATCTGTGGGGGACAGGAGCTTCTAGGCATGTAACTGAGGCTTTAGCTTTTTGCATATGGTAATAACATGTTAAGTGTCATCTTTTTTAGGACAGAATGGGTAAACCCACTGCTGGGTCCAGGTGAGGTGACTCCCAGTGTGTTTGAGTTACCTTGTAAGCCTGTCGGACTCCTCCGTTATCTGCAATGTTTTCTCCTAATGTGCTGATGCCACTGACCTGTAAAAAACAGCCCCTTATTTACTCCAGAGTCAGTAAAATCAGCAGCTCTAAGGACCGCAGGCTGAAGCACAGTCATTCAACACAGGCAAGCAATGACTTTGTGCTGGGGCAAGTAAGGAGAGAATAACAATTTAAAAAATCCCAGGGTAAAAGCTGTAGATTAGAAGAGACGATCTACATGAATGTACCATGAACAGGAGCTGGGCTGGTGCTGGGCAGAACCTCCCTGCACACAGAGCCTGGGCTCTCTGGGCTGCTGCTGTGCCTTATTCCCAGAAGAGCTGGCTGCAGCATCTGGGGTGTGTGTGCTCTGTAGGGGTTCCCTGTTTCCAGCAGTGTGCAGAGCTGTGGTTGTTACTCACGTTCTGCCCCCCTGCCAGCTCCCAGGTGTAGTTCCCGTACTGGTGCACCATGCACCGGGACTGCTCCTTGAAATGCAGCGCTGAGAAGTTGCTCCACCAGTCCAGCATGTTCCCATCTTTATCAAAATTCCTTCCTGCAGGGAAATCCAAGGAAAAAAGCGAGGTTTTCAGTGAGAGAAAGGAGCCACTGTTCTTCCAGGGTAGCACCTGGGACATCAGAGCTGCCCACTCCCTCTTCCCCCCTTTGGTTTGGATGCTCGGGAATGTTTGTGGCACAGCTGATCCTCCTTGTCATGAGGGGATGGACAAGACCAGCTATGATCTCTGTTATTCCATGATTTCCTGTTCAGTCAGCAGCCCTGACTTCAGCTATGGCACTAAGGCCTGGTTTTATTTCCAACTGGATTATCCATCATGGAAAAAAACTTCCCCCACCCTCCCTGGGGTGTTCCCCGTGTGCCTGAGCTGCTCCCAGGCAGGGATGTGACTGTGTGTGCAGGGCTCTGCAGTCCCAGCACGGGAATTCCCAGCAGTGGAAGGAGTTTTAGCCAAAATAATCCCATTTCCCAGCCCTCTCCTCACCGTTGTCATCGAAGCCATGTGTGATCTCGTGCCCAATGACCATCCCGATGCCCCCGAAGTTCAGAGCCTGTGGCTGGTGTTTGCTGAAGAAGGGGGGCTGGAGGATCCCAGCAGGAAAAACTGCAAAGAAAGGGAGATACTGTAAGGGCTTTACTTTTGCATCCTCGGCAGACAGCTTGTTTGCCTGGTGGAAGGGTCAGGAAGGAACACAAAGTATAAAATGATTAGAAACAAGCTCATGCCTCCTGTGAAATTGCTCCTCTCTTGATAAATGGGAAATGACAAGTTAATAAAGGTTTAATTTGGCACATCTGCAGCTACAGCATCTCCCTGTTTGAGGCCCAAGCATCATTTACATTAAGTTTAGCCTAATGTGGTGCATAATGTTTGCTGCAGTGACTCAAGAACAGAATGTTTAGGAGCTGTCTTTGGGGGACAGGCACAGTTTGTGTGCCATTTTATAGGGGAACTAATGGATGTGTTATTGCTTTATTTGGGTTAAGGAAACGTTAAAAATCATCTGCTGATACCAACAACACTCAGGGTGTAAAACATGCACAGGAGGGCACTCGATGCCAGTCGAGCGGCTCTGCAGGAACCCACACAGCTGATGTGTCAGGGGAGGGCTTTGCCCAGCTCTGCCTCTGGATGCAGAGCTGCACTGCTGTGGGGCTGAAAATGGTGAATGAGCTCCATGCAGCTGTTCAAACCTACCTATCTGGTTCCTGTTGGGGGAATAGAATGCATTGACCACTGCAGCTCCAATTATCCATCTAAAAATAAACGTTGCACACAGTTAGTAGGGATTTTTTTTTGTTGTTGTTGTTTTTTTGTTTGTTTGTTTTTTTTTTAGTAATTCTTTTAATTTAATTATTGTTAACAAAATGCAGGGTGTATAGGAAAGGATTGTAATGAAATGATTCTTATAAGGATTATATATAAGGATATATAAAGAAATATAATTTGCTGATAAGGAAAATCCCTCTAAGGAAATTGTACAAGGAAAGGATTAATGTAGGGAAGAAGGGTGCATTGAGCACAGCTGTAAGAAACACCATCACCCTCAATCCAGAACTGGCTCTGGGTCTGGAAAGTGCTGGCTGGGAACTCACATGTCTTGGTCGACTCTCTCTCGAAGTTTTTTCAAGCTCTTTTGGGCTCCAGCTCTCAGGTTTTCCAGGATGTTTTCAAAGTAATTGTGTTCACTGAAGTTTAACTAAAGAAACAGAGCTCAAGTGTATTAGTCAGCTGTGCAGACAGAGGGACTCCTCAAACCACCAAATGTATCCTCTAAATGATGTTTTTTGGTTGCATGGTATCCACCAAAAGCTGCCCTCTGCATGCATTTATTTACCAATATGTTCTTTTTAATGTCCTTGGAAAGGACACTTGTACAGGTATAAGAATTCCAAGTGGCAAGAAAATAAGAGCAGGCTTTTTATCTTGAGGTACTTGGTGAGGTGTGCACAGAATACTTACATTGGCATATTCCTGATCCAGTTTTTCATTCTGGTCTTCCAAAATGTAATCTGGATAGCCAATTTGTTCTTTGATTGCCATTGCCTAGAAGAAAAGAATTTAATGTTTCCTCTTAACTGTGGTGGGTTTTCTGTGAAGTTTCAGTACTTTACTGAATAGAATAGTTTAGTTGGGTTTTTTCCCCTTTGCTATTGGAATGGTGCTGATGGTCCTAAGGCCAATGAAATGTTTTCTCTGGGGGATTGCATTGTCTCCAATTGCCATTCTAGCTGACGTGGGCTAGCAGAGGATTAAAAGGAAAGAACAGTGTGATAAGAAAATGGAATGATGAACAGTGAAGTATTTTCCTCCGTTTTGTAGAGGAACTGGAAACAGAGATACTACAAAATTCCAAGTATTTCCCATTCATAAGGGAATACTGAAGTTCCCTGTTATCTCTGACCTTCTCCCTGGCTTTCTCCTTGGATGCCTCATCCATCCACTGCAACTCATCCAAAGTCTCCACGAACACTTCGCGGATCTTCTCGATTAAATCTCGCACCTAAAAGAGAGCCAGTAAGACATGAATCACTTCCAGGATTTACACTTCCCCAGGCAGAGCTAAGGAGGGGTGAAAAGCTTCCTGCTGAAGCCCGATGGTCCCAGATTCTCTGCTCTAAACCTCAGTACCCAGCATTTCAAAGAGCATCATAACCCAGTTCTGACTCTTGCCTTGGGGGGGGGGGGTGTCTTTCACAGACAAAATATTTGGGGGGCTCAGGTGGAAGGGAAGGGGCTCTGTAGGCACGGTGGAGGTACAGGAGTACGAAGGGTGAACTACATACCATCCTCTTGCTCTCACCAGCAAATGTCTCCCGGACATACATGGCTCCCACCGCGTTCTCCATGTTGTTGTTGACGTAGCTCACGCACTCCCTCCACCGCGCCTCCTCCAGCGTCGTCCCGTACAGAGCCTGCAGCACCAAGCACAGCTTTGGCCCTGCCTGTGCCCCTCCAAGTCCCTGCCTGACCAGCAGGTTAGCCTAACACAAAGGTTTCCATCGCTGCCCTGGGGCGTGTTTGGGGGTTACACGACCCAGTCACGGCGTCGCGGGATGGTTTGGGTTGGAAGGGACCTCAAAGCTCATCCAGTTCCACCCCCCTGCCACGGCTGTGTTGACAAGGACTCGTTCTGGAGCTGCTGGGCTCTCCTCCAGCACTGAGCTCTCCAGGAAGAGGGGAAATACCTTCCTGTAGCTGGCCCGGGCGTCCTTGAAGCGCCGGCTCAAGCTGCTGACACGGTCGATCACCAGGCGCCAGATGAGGTAGTTCTGGATGGTGCTGTGTGGGAAAGCAGAGCTGAGCTTAATCCCCTGCAAAAAACACCTCTAGTGCAGCCAGCCAGCCATTCTGGATGGAGATCAGGAAGCAAATGATTGCTGGCAGTTTCACAGTGTCTGCAGGTGACTGTTCTCATTTCACTGGAGTTATCCAGCCTGAGGCCTGAACTGTCATGTGTGTTCAGGGGTTAATTTCTTATTGCTTTTCCTTCTAGAATGCAACAAGACCTAAGCCTGTGATGTATTTTTTGCTTCCCATTTTACCTTCTCTAAGCAAGCAGCAGGTGAGACATTTGGTGCTGAAGTGCTTTGAGACTGAAAGACATTTCCCATATTTTACGGGGGTCTCATTTTCCTTGGAGAAGCTCTGGCAGAACTAAAAGGGGGGTCCAATAATTGACTTTTGATGGCATGTTCTCCAGTTTTTTACCTTGCTGAGTACTTGGAGATGATTGCTTTCAGCTCCTGCAGGTAGGGCATGCCATAGACAACCACCTCCTCTTCTGGGTCAACCTGGACACTTACTGAAGACATGACACCTTGGATGAAGAAGGTCCAGTTAAATTCCTAGGCAGACAGAGAGATGCCAATGGTGGGTGTTGAAGTGCCTTAGTAACTGGACTTTCTACAGTTTTACGGCCTTGAATGTGGCTGTAGTGCTGTTCAGTAGAAAAAAGCTTTTTAAGAGACTCTGAAGACAAGATTAAGAATGGGATTGATTTTATTCCTCTTTGTTGAGTCACTGACAAATTCACAAAGCCATTTCCATTGCAATTAAGAGACTGAAAGTATGAGACTGCTCATTAAGCACTTACATTCAATGCAAACTTTTCCTGTAGCTCTGTTAAGGTCATTTTGTTGTACAACAAGGTCACATCGTGCCTTTCCTCTGCTGGGGTTGTTGCCTGAAGACATTCACAAGGTTATTACTGGAATCAACTGACAGAAATATCAATGGCTGAAATCACATGCATGTGCACAAATGAACACTCAAATAACATGCAAATAAACCATTTCTCTGAGGAGAGAGGAAGCTCATTTGATGGTGCCCGGTGCTGCTTTCTAAATTTCAGTGCAGGAGCTCTGGTCTCTGCTATTCAATAATATTTCAGTGATATTCTGAGCCAAGTGGTTGCCTCTGTCCTCTAGAATGGCAGAACAAGCTCTGGGAGATTTTGAGGGGGCTGTAGATTTCTAAGGATGCAAAGGGAGCGAGCCCTGGTGTTATCACAGCGTATGTTTAGCAGAAGAATTCCAAACATAAATACAGCCAGGACTGGAGCAGCACAGCAGTGTGCTCAGCAGACAGTTACAAACACACAGACACTGATTTCTGGGCTGTTCAAGGCACAAAAAATCTTCTTCCCCCTGTCTTTAAGGCCATGGGCTTTGTGTGTGTTGAAAACTGCTGCCCAAACAGCAAGACCCGTCCCCCTCCTCCCTCAGCCCCCTGGCACCCCGAGGCCTCGTTCTCTGGACTCACGTTTGCAATCTCTGTTTCCAGCTCCATCACCTTTGCCATTTCCTCCTGGACAAAGGAATCATCTCTGGACACGTTCTGGTCCTCCCGGATCATTTTGGCGATGGTGATCATGAACTGCAGGTAAGCCTCTCTCACCTGCACGTGGCAAACAGGGGGTGTGGACAGCACTGAGTGTTTTTTTCCCCTATGGTAGATGCTACTGCTACAGCTTGGAGCTCAGTTCATCCTGGAATACCCCACAGGGCAGTCACCAGCCTCAAAAAACACACTTTCTGCTTCCCTGTGCAATCCAGCTGGGGCATTCTGAGATAGAATTGCTGCTCCAGCAAAGAGAAGGCTCCAGGACTTGAGTTACTCTATGGGAACAGTGATCCCCACCAGCCAAAATCCCAGAGTAAGTGTGGAGGGTTTGAATTCTCTGAAAGTAATACCATAAATCTCCTGAACCCTGCTTTTGCTGACTGAGACAAAAGCTCTGTCTCAGACTGTTCCAGTGACACCTTTGCTTTATTTCTGGTGGGAGGTTCTGGCTTATTTATGCCCCATAAAGGGCTTTGAAAAGAGATTTGGCTGCTGAGGGAGTGCTGATCCCTGATACAGGAAAACCTAATGTTACCTGTTCTTCTTGCACACTTTTCTTCCTCCACAGACCTTGGAATCCAGATAAACACAGCAACTGTTGTGAAATTGTGTCTGGGCACTTACAGGACGATGATTTGTGGTTTTAGGCTGAGCCCTTAATCAGGCCAGACTCCCCCAGGCCTCAGGAGGAGCTTTGCCAAAGGATGCTGGACTAAGCACAGGGGGAGTTTGGGTCATCAGAGTTGGGTCATTGTCTGGGGGCAGCCAGCTGGTAAATAGCAAATAAAAAGGGGTTGTGTCTCCTCCTTAGTCATTAGGATTAAAGACACAGCCTGGTCCACGCTGGTTTATGGCTTCAAATTAAAGCTGTATCGAGCAGAGATGGTTTTCTTTTGCTAATTTGGGATTGTCTCTGCCCTGTACCTGATTTTCTATCTCTTACAAGTCGATCTATGTCTGACCTCCGTGTGCCAGTGCATGAACATCCCTCTTTTCTGCTGTAGCTGCTCTGTGCAGGTGACAGACTTGCAGGACAGACTCCTGGTTCAGCAGCTCCCTGCAGTGCCCAGCACAGCTACGAGGAGGTTGCTCTGGATCAGGAGCTGGCAGCTTGTAAAGGTGCCCAGAAGGTGTGGAAACAATCCTGTCTAAACCTCACAGGGCTGTGTCCAAGCTCTGTGATGCATGAGAATATGGTCAAACACACTGAAGGAAGAAGCAATCTCTTCCCACTGATGTTTTCATCTGCCTTTACAACCACGAGACAAAAGAGTCTCAAATGCTGATTGTTGTCCTTCTGTTTTCCCTTCCATTCTTGTTAGGAAAATTGGTTTGATGTTGGGCTGCAAATACTCTTTGTTAGCATGACATAATTGAGGGAAATGCAATGTACTAAAGCAGTATTTTCATCTTGGAAACAGATAAATTATCTGGCTCTGTTTGCAACAGCTTTCTGTGTATTTACAGAAACAGTGTTTTTGCACAATCAGTGCTTTTGCCCCGAGCATTGGCAGAGAAAAACCACCAGGAAATCATCTCTCACAATTTTCATGTAATTCTGGGGAAAGGAGAGAGTAGGTGGCAGCAGATTCTTACTAGCTGTGAATCGGTGGATTTAGAGGAGGATAGGAGGGAATCCAAGACAACCTGCACTGAAAATGTGAACCTGCCCTTCAGAATTAGAGACTGCTGAGTGATTTTATTTCCCCATAATACTCTTTATGGTTGGCCAGTTCTGGGGAGGCTTGATATTTATACACTTGTTCAGTCCTTTTGTAAATGTTACAAAATTTTGGCATAATTAGGAAAAAAATGTAGCAATGAATGTCACAGTCTGTTATATGCCCTGAAGATTCACATATTTGAGTTTTCCAAAGCACAATAAAGTTATTTTAGTGGCACACAGTAAATAAATTACAAGGAACACTCACCCTTTGATAGTTGCCCCCATTAAAGTAGTAATCCCTGGATGGCATTCCCAAGCTTGGCTGGTCAATCTGAAGGAAAACACATTTCTCTGGTTAGGGATGAACAGGAATTGGGGCTGTCCAAAGGAATCCTTGAGAGGCAACCTGAAATGCTGTTCCATCCTTGCAGTGCTGGAATGACAGAGCAGCCAGACAGGCAGAGAACTTCAGCTCTCTAAGGACTGGGGGAGATGGAAGGGACCACTTTGGTCTGTGGATTTTTAGGTAAGGACAGGATGGATCTTGGTGTGAGTCACTGAGCAAAATCTTTCAGTCCCCATTGAGATCCAAGAATAAATTTAACCAACTTTTCTAAGTTGCTTGACTTGAGGGCTGGACTTCCTGCAGAGCCATTCATGAACAAACTCTGAAATATTATTTACATCTTTCGACCAAGGGTTTCCTGCTATATGTTAAACCTCACCATCATTTTGAGAGTCACGAGAATTTACAGCCCTTAAATGCTGTAAATCAGCAAAGTTCCATTGGTTTTTATTTCTTTTACTGAAAAAAAAATAATTATGCTGCCATGAAATGTTTCCTGATCTGTCTTTGGGACAGATCTGTCACTTGGGGTACAGAGCTGGCTGTTCCCTGCATTTGGCCGGTGCTGTGCTATGGAAAGCTCATCTGCCTGCAGTGTAAATAACTGTCCACTGTGATTCTGGGGTATAAATAATGCCCTGTGATGCCTGGCTTACATAAATGATGTGTCTGCTGGAGTCCCTGTCGTCGTTCCACACGAACATGTCGATGAGGACACGTTTGTTAAACCTGGAGTTCATTATGGACAGCTTTTCTTCCATGCTCCAGCTTGGCTCTGGGAGATGAAAGGGAGAACAAACACCATTTATCCATAAGGACTGATTGAAGTTGTGAAGTTTGCTGTGCTAAAACTGTTTAGATCTAATTCTGTATATATACATATATATGTTAAATATGGGTGACCCCCTGACTCTTGTTCATGAAGAAAAGCTGAAAATGGAGGGTTTGATTCATTGACAGTGGCCTCCCTAGTGCAGGAACTGATTCTGACTGCACATTATTGAACCCTTTCAGGCCCAGCATTACCTTTGGTCTTATTCCAGTCTGCAGAAGCCACTGGCCAGTCTCCAACCATCCTTAAGGCCTCGAGCAGAGGCAAAGAATCTCGCTGCTCTATAAGGCCTGAGAGGGGAAAGACAAATGTTGTATTGTTTTCACAAAAAAAACCCAAACAGGTAATGGGCCTAACAGCTCAAATCTGGAACTGAATTTGTCATGATCCAAAATCAGAGACACCATGAAACCATCTGTCCCCTGCATCAGTCTTCAGAAAAGCAATGAAAACACTTCTGAGGCTCCAGTGCTGCCTTTTACTGGATTGGTTTGGAAAGGATGAAGTGGGACAGGTTTGTACCTTCTGAAGGGAAGGTTTTGCCCCAGCCCAGGGGTGGGTACCCAACCTCCATCCTTTCCACGTCCCAAATGTGCACTTTAGGCCCTAATGATGCACCCAGGCACGTTCATCCATCTGAGGATGAGTTTCCAGGTGGGATTAGACAGATACTGAGTGGATGAGCAGAACACTGGCATTTCTGTACACTCAGTATTGACCACGGGGATCAATGGAACAAGAAGGGACTCACTCTCATTCATGCAGGACTTGTAAAGGATTTTAGCTTTCTGAAATGCCTCTCTGTCCCCTTGATCTGAAGTCTCCAGCACACCTGGGGAAGGAACCATTGCCATGAGATTTGTGCCCCGGAGAGCTTTGATCATTTCACAGAAACCCCTGAGAATTCAGGGCTATGATAAACACTTGTTTCTGTAGCCTGCAATTACTGTGAGACTGGAGAGCTCTTTAGAGGAGCTATTAATGGCAAAAGTGTCAGGAGGAAGGATGGGCAGGCTTGTCCTGCTCCTTTTGAAGTTAGTACCAAATCACCTATGGCTAATTTTTAGTGGGAACAGGATGTTCCTGCAAAATGGGGGTAGTAAGAGATGTAGAGATTAAAGGACCAGAGAGAAAAAAAAAAAAAATCACAATCCACACTTCTCTCTGTAGGTTCATTTCTCTGTGCAATGTGTAGCCAATAACCCCTGAAACCAAACACAAGTGTGTGAGGATGGAGTGGCCTCATTCCTACCTTTCAGGATGATCTCCAGCTCGTCCCTCAGGGTGTCGAAGATGCTGTACCTGGAGCTGGTCTCTGGGATGATGTGCCTGCTCAGCCAGCCCCCACAGGCGTACTGGTAGAAATCCTGGCACGGGTCAGCTGTGGGGTCCATGTTCTGGATTATTCTGGCAGCTGGGTACCAAAATTGGAGAGCTGAATCCCACAGGCTGCCCAGTGCTCTCTGGCACCACCAAAGACTGTCAAGGAGCTGCTTGGCAAGAGTCATTCCCACGTGTTAGGACTCGAAGGATCCCATTTTCTGCTCTCCCACAGCACAGTGCCCTCCAGGCAGGGGGGTGCTGCCCAGGGCTCCCCTGTGCTCCAGCTCAGGTACCTGCCTGAGAAGCCAGTGTTCCAGGGGGCAGCTGGGAACATCCCTGCTGGAGTCCCACCTCTGCTGAGGTGTGCATGCCAAAAAGAAGGTGAATGCCCCATGTATGGGATGCACTCACAGAGAGAATTCGTTCTAAAGGGATTCTTACCACACTAAGGGACAGACTGTTGGCCAACCCATGTCCCTGTGGCTCAGGCCACAGGGCTGTTGGCCACACTGGGAATTTTCCTGTACTACTTCCTTACGGATGATACTCCCTGGCCAAGGGGAAATCTCATTCCTTTACAACTTCTTCATCCATAAAGCCTGAATTACCTTTTACCCAGGTCCAGCACCAACCCATAAAACACCCCCTGTGCAATAACCCCTCAGAGCGACCCCGTTACCTGCTGTGACACAGCCAGGGGTGGTGCAGATGTTGCCTGAGTTGGTGCCATAGTGAGTTCCTGCAGGGAGAAAGCAGATGGAATTAGCTGTTTTGGAAGGGAATTGCCACCAAAGCCCAGACTGTGACAGCTCTGCTTGGTCTGAGAGCAAGTGAGTGAATATCAGAGCCAGAGACATCGGCTGACAACTGTGGAGAAATCTTTCATCTGGAGATTTATGAGGAGAATTTATTGGCAGCAGCATTACAACAGCACTGGCAGTGAGTTCTAACTCCCCTGGAAAGAGGATTAGACCATTTTTTTCTACCTGCTGCCTCCACAGACTTCCTGGTGCAAACTCAAACCTGAGATCCCTTTCCAGACAATCTATTAAGATGCTTTGAGTATCTGAGCTCTCTCATGATCTCCAAAGTCACCGTGACCAAGAGATTTAAACGGGGTGAAAAGCTGCATTGCTGCTTTCCCACTGCTCTAAGTCACCAAGATCAAATTAGGAAAAAGAAATGATCTTTATTTCTTGAAGTATGTGTGTGCTGGGGAATGGGGGAGTGACAGACCCGTGGTTGGTCCCAGTGCCAGATAAGCCCTTTAGGGTTGGGTTGGTCCCTAATCAGCACCGTTTGGGGCTGATGAAATAGTGCAGAAATAAGGAGACTGTGGACCTGTGTTCCAGTCTGTCCTGCTCTGAGCTCAGCATGGAAAAGGCCAGTGAAGTCCTGACCTTGGCTACTGATTTGCTGGTTTTGAGTACTTTTTGTCCTGGCCTGTGAAATCTTTCCAGTGCAGAAGTTCCACAAAAAGCCTGTGCATGTTTTTGGTGCTGAGGATGAGGGGAATGTCCTGTGCTGCTGGTCAGGACTCTCTGGTGTGCTGTTCACCACAGAGCTGCAGTGGGGGGGGTATCTGAGCCCCCCAGACTGAGCAGTGGCCTTGGCCCTGGGAGAAGGAAATTAATTCTGATGGCTTAATTTGCCATTTGTGACACTGGACTAGCTTGGTATCCACCTCTGTTAAATAGACAACTACTTGGTTCCACACTGGAAAACAAAAGTTGGTGCTTCCCAACAGGATTAGCCATTTTTTGAACCTCTTCTTGATCCTTACACTGGGATGTTTGCAGTAAAGAGTTACTAGGAAATTCCTTTCAGTGAAAGTAAGTGCTTTACATGAGAGCAAACAAGATTACAGTAATTCAGAGAGAAATGAAACAGTGGGGAAGAAAGGAGGGCTTTGAAGTTCATCAGTGGAAGCGACATAAAAAGCCCCCACTGCGATGGGGGCCCAGCTGAGCACATCTGCATGAGAATAACTGTGTGTCTTGTGGGTCTGGCAACCTCCACATATGATGAGCAAAATATGGCTAAAAGTGTGAAGCTTCACATTAGACGGTTCAGCTTTTTCTTTTTGGTGTTTCTGTCAGGGCTTTGGGGTGGTTTTTTTTCGTACTGGATGAAGCAAAGTGCAGTTTTTTGAGTTTCCTAAATTCTCTGTTAATTAAACAATTAGCAAAATCAAACCTAAAAGCCCAAAGTATTTTCAAGAAAAAAAAAAAAGAAAAAAGAGTTTTGAGAAAACAAACGAATAGTTCAAAGGCAGATGGAAATTCTCTGTAAAGGAGCAATGGCAAAGGTGAGACAGAAATACCTGTTCTACAAGAGTGCTGTGCTTCTCATTGTTTCTCAGGGACCAGGCAGGACTCAAGCCTTTTTTCTTTTATATTCAATTTTTTTTAGTCAAAGCTCCTCTCTTTAATATAACCTGACAATGTCTAACTCCAGTTTCTGGGACCCAGCTGCTTTCAGCAAGGCTCAGAATCCCTCCCTTCCCAAAGCCCTGGGGATTGGGAAGCTGTAACTGAGCTGGATAACCATCCCTTTCGGTCTGATACAGCACCATCAGAGAATTGATCAGGGAAGATAAGCTTTAATGGAGCTAAATAAAATGACCTTGGCTGTGGGACTACTGCAAATGGAAGAAAATGAGGGAAATTAAGCACTCCAGATGCTGCTTGGAAGGTGAACTGCTCACCTGAGAGATGGCAGAGCTGGGACGTGCTTCAGACCCCTCTGGGCTCCCTGTGGAGAATTTTTATTGTCTCAATTTGCCTTTAGAAGAAGCCACTGGGCACTGTCACGTTCCCTGGCTAGCAGCAGGAGGTGAGAATGACTCCTGGGAGTGTGGAGCCCTGCAGGCCCCTGCAGCAGCTCAGCTTTTGAATGGCAATTATTTTTATTTGGTTTTTTTTGGTTTTTTTTTTGAAATACAAGTTGCTTTTCACAGCCTGACTGAAGCTCCTTCTCAGACAATGAGAGCAAAGCAAATCGCTGTGTGGGGCTCTGGAGCTCACAGCTTGTGTTTGTGTTTGGAGGAGCACAGATGGCTGGGGATGGCACACACGGCGACAATTAGAGCCACAGTTTGTCACCACGTGGGAGCTTTACCTCCCAGCACCTTCCCTGGTCCTCAGAACTCCTCTGCAGAAGCGCTCCTGGCACTGCAACCTGCTCTTTTGGCTGTCAAACCGGCTGATTGTCTGCCACAAACGGCACAGCTGCCAAATCCAGGTTTTCTTTGCCGGACAGGGTGGGCTGTGAAAGGTGTCAGGGTCTTCAAATGGAGCCCAGAACACCAGTGTTTGGTTTGGTTCCACCTGCCTTAGGATTTCAGGCATGGCTGAGCCAGGATTCCCGTGTGGGAATCGGTGAGGAGGGTCTGCCCTGCATGGGCTGCTCACTGCCCAGCAACAAACCCAGGGAGCTCCATCTGACTTGGACTGGGAAGGGTCTTGCCACCCAAATATCACAGTGCCACTGACCATTCAGATATTGCTCCTGGTCAGCAGATTTGTGCAAATCTGTTATTCAAGTGCACGAAACCCACACTGACAGCATAGGATGTGTAGGAGAAAAAGGTGATTTTTTGGAAACCCCCGGGGCGAGGTGTCGCTCAGACCAAGGGTTGGATTCTTCTCTGTTTGTGGCCTAAGAGGGCAGAGCAGAGCATGACCCTGAGCTTCCCAACTGCCAGTAGGGACAACCTGAGGGGATGCAGAAATAAATATCTGTGAGTCTGACTTCTGAGAGGGGAACTTGGAAACCCAAAAGTGAATAAAATGTCAGTGAAACAAGATATTACGGCACCAGCAATCAGGTGAGGATGGAAGTGGTTGGTAACTAAGTCGCCTGAAGAAGCTGCTGACTGATCTGACGTGTCAGCTACAATAGGTGTTGAAATGTTCTTCAGACCTTTCCAACAAGTGCTGAGATTTGGAGTTTGGTAAATATTTGTGGAACGGAGCTGTGGAAAGGCTCAGAGCTGAACGTGTGGGTGTGATGGAAAGACTGAGAGTGTGGTGTGTTCAGGTCCAAACCCAGTGACTTCAGTCCTGTCTGCTTCCCTTGCTGTGATCACCCAAATATTACTCTCTTCTTCCTATATTTTCTTTTATCTTGTTTGGATGAGTCTTTTTGGGCATGAAAAGTTCCTTGGATGTCGAGCATCCCCCAGGTTGCTTCTAGGACTGTATAACTGCACTGCTGTGAGAGCTTCAGTGTTTTTGTTGGCTGGGAATAGAGATAAAAACCCCAGTCAGCTTTAACAGCACTACAGGAATTACTGCTGCACCCAGGGGGCTGTTTCATGCACCACAGTGCTCCTCTGTGAGCTATGTACAGGCAGAACAGAAATAGTCTTCCTGAACCACAAGGCCTATATGTGCCTTTCTATACATAAAAAAAGAGATAATGTAAGGCAGGACAGGTAATCCTTCTATTTTCCTGATCTAGTTTTCTAATTTAATTTCTAATTGCTAGCTAAACAGAATTATTTGTTAGAAGCTGGGGAGTGTCACTGTGATCAAGGATGTACAAGAGATGAAGTGGCAGATCTGAATCTGCTCTTAGTGAACAATCCAGTGTCCCATTCTCATTTCAAAATTAACATTTGAGTGAAATTAGAAATGGAACAACCCCAGGATAACACTCTGGGCTCTATCACATGAATGCTGCTCAGCCACACTGGTTTTTTCCTGTTGCTGTGTGGGATTTATTGCACAGCTTTGAGCCGTAAGTGCTTTTCCCTGGGCGAGTCTGAGACTCCAGGCTCTTGGCTGAGCTTTGGGAGTGGGCCCAGGGGTGACAGCAAAACAGGACCAAGGGGAGCACTGGGATAAAACTTCTGGAGACAAAAAGAAACACATTTGTCCTGCAGGGACTGAGGAGCAATTCCTGCCCCAGCTTTAGACCCAACCAGGGCATGCACACACCCGCTGGAAAGGTGAAGATTCTCCTGCTCAGTCCCTACCTGGAACTTCCTAAAGCCTTGGCTGCTCCTGGGTGTGCCCACAGCTGGCTGTGCCCACAGCTGGCTGTGCCCTGGGTGAGCTGGGTGTGCTCCAAGCAGCAGAGGCACAAAGGGGTCAGAGCTCAACCCCCTCTGTCCAGCTGGGGGGAACCAGCCCAGGACAAGCAGCGCATCAGCCCTGCAGTGCCTGGCACTCCTGCTGCCCAGGAATGTCTGAACCTGGAAAACACCTCCAGGGAGAGTTTAACTGGCCATACAAGAATGCAAAATGTTTAGATTTTAGGCTTGTTTTCTCGCAGAGAAGCTTTCCAGTAAACAAACGTGGTTAGCACTGGCTCTTCCCCTGGGTTTGGATGAGACCAATGTGTGGCTAAATATTAACACCTGGATTATTCAGGCAGTGAAACCCTACATAACTCAATATTTGATACAGAAACTCCTCCTCTTCCCCCCCCACCTCCTGAGCTTAGAGAATAAACTTCTCTGATGAACTTCATGAATACCAAACGCTCAGATTTCACCTGACATTCCGCTGCTGGGAGCAAAAGGAGTGAACAATCAAAAGGCTTTTCCCATGAGTTATTGCCCAGAATTGGGCAGTGTTTCCCTTACAGGGGAAGGACACAGCAGTGCCTCGCTCCAGGTTTGCTATTCCTCCTTTAGCTCTGTTCTCTGGTGTTTTAGCAAAGATGTGAGTCCAAGAGGCTTTAATGGAGGTGGCAAACACAAGGCAGTGCTGCTCCCAGTCATTTGGTGCTTCACAGCATTTTAAAGTAGGTGTGCTGGTGGGAAAACTTCAGCTTTAGTTAGTGTGCTCTGCAGCTGAAATATTTAGGCAGAACACCTCAGAATAAGGTGCCTCCATGTCAGCAAGACATTTGCACTGAAGTCACTGAACCAAATCCCACTCAGAGATCCAACTGCCTGGTGGAATATTTAAAAAATCTCTTCTTTCCTCAGCAGCAAGTGGCATTGTTTTTTAAAGCTTTCAGATTGTAATAAGCAATTTCCCCTTTGGAGAGACTGTTTTAAAAAAAGTGTTTTAAAGCAGCTGCTCCTTTTAAAAAATCCTGACAATGATGAATCTTGGCTCGTGCTCCTATAAAATAGGTAACTGTCAATCCTTACACACAGACACACACCTTCCTCCTGAAACAGCACAGCATCTTTCTCAAAACAATGCTGAATTCAACAAAGCCCATAGAATTCACTGAAAACATAGAACCTCACATCACACAATTTAAAAATGAATTAAAATCCAACATAATCCCTGTGCACGGGCTGGGAACAAGGCAGAGACAGCCACATCCCTCACAGAGGTGACTTCACTGTCCTCCCTGAAATTTTATTTTCATTTCTCTCTGGAAAAAAAAAAACCAAACCAAAAAAAAACCCAAAAAATCAAACAAAAAAAACCAAACTAAGAAAGACTTAAATACTGTTTGCAGAGGGAAGAGGAGAATCATTCCCAGGTTCTTACCTCTGCTGCTGGCATAGAGGATCACCAGGGCGACGGCAGCACAAGTCATGAGGAGCAGCAGGACAGCCAGACCCAGTGCCACAAAGCTCCAGGGCTTCTTCCCAGACTTCGTTGATTTTTCCACAATATCCATTTGGCTTTCTGATTTCCCCATTATCGTAACTCTAAATTGGAGAGGGGAGGGTGAGAAAGAATTAACAGCACGGCTAAATCAGCGTGAGGGTAAAAGCAGGAGAAAGCAGGGAGGAAAAGGAAGCAGAAGAAAAAGGAAAGGGAGAGAGGAAAGTTCCAAATTATTACATGTATTTGTCCATCTGATTGTCCACAGATTTGCCAACCTCATTCTCCATCTCCCGAGCTGTGTGTGCCCTCGGGGGGGCTGTGCTGGACTGGCTGCCCGGGGCTCTCAGTGGTGCAGCGCCAGAACTTCAGGAGCCTCTTTAAAAAGTGTGGAAAAGTCTCATGACCAGGTTGGGCAGCTCCTTTCTCCCGAACACAGAAGGAGGGGGAAAGCTGCCGCCTTCCACTCCCCACTTTGAAAGCCTCTTGCCGCTGGCAGGAATTCCTCCCGTGTCTCCGGGCAGGTCCGCGCAGCTCCGTTACCAGCCGGGGAATCCACGCCGGGATCCTTCCCGGTGCCTCCGAGCGGGGTCTCCGGCACGGGCGGAGGGTTTGGAGGGTGGGAAGCTCCCGGGACACGCGTGGGCTCTCCGGTGCGCAGGAGGCTGTGCCCCGCAGCCCCTCGGAGCCCCCCGAGCCATGCTCGGAGCCGGCAGCTCAGCCCTGCGCCCTTCCCGGCTCCGGGGAAATGGGAACGATCCCAAACCCGGGCAGCGGCGGGAGGAGGGGTTGGAGCTGCTGCGGCTTCTCCCGAGAGTCCCCCCGGCTTCCCGCAAATCCCCGCTGTGCCTGAAATGCCACAGGGGAGGTGGCAAACCCACCGAAACCCTCCTGCCCCCGGAGCGCCGCGGCTCTGCGTGGGAACGGCTCGTGTTGGGAACGGGAGGATTTATAGGGGCTTGTAGGCAATGCACCCAGGCAATCCGTCTGGATTCCCAAGGAAAGATAGAAGGACAGGGAAGGCATGTGATTCCCCTTGAGGTTGGGTTTATTCTTCCCCAGAACTGGCTCTGGAGCGAGGGAGAAGCAGGTTGGTGTTTGGGGGGGGTTGTCACTGAGCTGCCGAAGTTCACTCCGGATAAATGGTCAGGTTGTGCCTCTCCCGACCTGCACTCCCAGTCCCGTGTGGGTTCGGGAGGAGGTGCCGAGGGCAGATTCCTCTGTGGCAGCCCTGATTTGGGAATGCACACACAGTGTTCCAAGGGTAGGAAACAATGAACACCAGTTTCTTCTGCCAGGAGTCCAAGTCTCCTCTCCCCAGTCAGGATTCTGCCTCAAAATCCCTGTGAGAATTTGCCTTTTTTTTTTTTTTTTTCTCAGGGGTCATGTTATCTCAGGCTTCTGTCGAGTGTGAAGGCAGCTATTCTCATCCCACCAGCTGAGGAGGAGGAGGAGAACACAGGGATCTGAGAGGCACGTGCAGATCCTGGCTGTCCATATGGGAGAAAGAGCTGCAGAAGGCAAGGTCGCTCGTAGGGACAAAACTATACATTTAGTGAAGATGTAAATGACGTCTCATTTCTGCTTGCAGAAAGTTCCACAGCTAAAAAAGGCTCGTTTCCTCTGTGTGTGAGGCTTCCTTACTGCTGAGCAGTTTTGCTGGTACCTCGCAATGAGGGTGGCTCTGAGGAGGGTCCACCTGGTTGGGGTCCCCAGCACTGCAATAGGCAGGTGTCTCAGGGTTCAGTGTAGCTATTTTTGGAGATTTAATGCAGTTATTCTTGTACCATGGCTATAAGATACTGCAGGGTATTATTTTGCCCATTTTGGAGTTGCAGAGTCAAGATGCCAAGAATCCAAGAGCCTTATTCCTACTGCTGGGCTGTAAGGAAGTAAAAAAAACCCCAAGCCAACCCAAACACAACCACCCAAACACAACAACGCTTCTGTGTGAGGAGAAGCAGCAGCAACTGTAAAGGACATATTTACAGAATCATTAATTTTGATTGTCTTGAGCAACTTTGTGTGGTCACTGAAATAGAGCAATCCATCATCTTGGCAGTGCAGCAAGGTCCCTGTTCTGGTCCCTGCTTCCAAGGGGATGGACCTGGTTTGGTTTCTGACACTTTCAGGATCACCTTGTAGCCTCTGGGACAAAGGAGACCTGATGCTGCAAAGTGGAATGGGGTTGTTTTGTTATTTATTTTTTCCTAAATCTCACGTTCAGCTGAATTTTCACATGCTGGTCTTTCACCTGCTACCCACTGCACAGTCCATTAGCCCTTATTTTACCAAGGAGCTTAAAAAGCATCATCTCTCCTGCAATACAGAGAAGGTGAACGGCCATCTGGGGAATTTTCTTGCAGAAACTGAGGAACAGTGGGGGTTTTCAGTTCTTGGAAAACATCCTCTTTCCCCAGAGCAGCGTGGACTCAAAACAGATGAAGCAATGAGGCGTTTGCTGTTTGGGTTGGGCTGCTTTGAAAGGATTTTTCCCTTTTTGCTTAGTTTGTAACTTTGTGAAGGAGGTTCTGCTGTTACTGGAATGTGGATGTGGAAGGAGCTCTCAGTGGCAGAGTTACAGTTTGGAAAAAGCCTCAAATAGGAGATTTTTACACTTGGATCCTGGAGGGATGGGGCTGGAGCAGCCAAGCTGGATGACTGCCTGCTTTTAGGATGTGTTCACTGTGAACTTTAGGGCTCCACATATGAATATTTAATAAAAAGGTGCTTCCTCAGGCACAAGGCTTCCCCAGGCACACAGAACCACTGTGGTTCCTGAGGAGAGAGAGGGAGCTGCTCTGGAGTTTAATGCACTGCTTTTCCTCTTGGGAAAAATTCTCAAGTCTGGGAGGAATTTCTGGTCAGAGTGTTCCAGCCCTGGAGAGCAAATAGTTGAGCTGGTGCCTCACTTGCCTGGGAGACGGTATTTGGATATTTTTCTTTTCATATTTCCCCTGGAGAACCTGGAATAACCATGGCTATACCTGGGACACTGCACTGGGAGGAGGGAGTAGTCAAGGATAATACTGCCTTGCTCAGGAGTTTGGTTGCTTGTCTCAGTTTCCACAATGTCGAGTTGACCTGCAGGTCTTCTTTTAGAAGAAATTGATTCTGAAGAAAAAACTGTGCCAAGTTGCTCATTTTTCTTCCCCTGCATATTTGCTTTCCCATCAGAGATTGGGCCTCAAAAGCTCTGTGCTTATGAGAATATATTACCCAATATTCTTATATACATCTGACATTTGTCTCTGAGGATGTATCACCTCATTTAGTTCCCTGCCATCCAGGGGTTTTGCACAGTCTTTAGTCTTAGTATTGCTGTAGCTGAATGTTCTGGGTTATCTAAATAGCTGATCCCGTGGTTGCTGCTCCCTGAATGCTCCCAGAAATCCAGGGATGCCCAGCAGGGCGGTGATTTCCCAGCCAGAGCTCTGGGCTTCTCCTGCAGGTATTAAACAGCTCCATCAAATGTGCCAACAGCTCAGTGTCCTAAAGCAGCCAAAGGACGTGGCAGCATCTTTAGTGAGATGTGTCTTAAGTGTTGTTACCATGGAAACAAGGTCTCCATCTCTGTGTGCTACACCCCTTATAGACTGATCCACACTGGGATGTGAGGGGAAATCACCCACCTCTGCATGCCAGGGGTTGTAGTTTGCCCTGAATCCTTTGCCTGTGCAAGAAAAGTCCCGTATAAATAGGTTTTAGGTGATCCTGTGTCAAGGAAAGTGCAAAACCAGCTCTGGAATCACTTCCATGTGAACTGCAGGTTCCAAATGACCAGCTCCTGTGAGTGTGAGAGGCTGAGAAACTCCCCAGAGATTGCTCAAAACCTCTTTTATTGTTTACCTCTTTGGTTTTAGTACAACAAAGAACCACGAGTGTGGGAAGAGAGCTCTAATCTGTCCTGGTCTCTGTTCCAGTGTTCAGGTTACACAGAGATATATTTCTTCTGCTTATGTGAATTAATCTGAACAGGAACACTCACCTGAACCAAGATTTATAACTCGTGGTCAGATTCACTCTCAGCATCACTGGTTTTGTTTAGGAACCAGAGCAGTGTCACTATTCCATTGTTAATAAATGAGTCTGGTATATGCATTTACCTTAAACTGGGGAGAAAATCTGATACTATAGGGTGACTTTAAAACAAAAAGCCCAACCAAAGAGCCTGGCCCCAGTAAATCAGCACCATGCCTGGCTCCAGGACAATGGCTGGATGTTCCCTGTGATTTATTGGAGCGGGGCTGCCGAGCACAAAGGATAACTCATTGTGCTCAGAAATAATGGCTTTGTCTTTGGGAGCCTGTCATCTGTCAAGCAGCATAAAGGAAATAAAAGCCAGCACTGAAATATCTTCTTAGAGCTGGTTGGCTCCCAGCTGTGTGTGGTGGAAAGAAGTGCTGGTAAGAGGCACATCCGAAACAGATTAGAATTGGGAAAACCTTGAAGTTTAGATGATGTTTCAGAACTCTTCTCTCACCCTCCCTTTAAAGATGAGCATCTTTGGAACATCACCAGAGCAAAAAACCAAGAGACACTGGAGCTAAGGCAAGCAAGGATTTCTGCCCTGGGTTTCTGAATCCATGCACTCTGCAGAGACAAGCAGGAAAAAGGTGAAGGTGTCTTACCTTGGTCTCGTGGAGGACGTCTTTCAGCTGCAGAGCTCAGGTGGCTTGTGGAGTTCCTGTGGTGGAATTGAAGTGTTTGTGCTTTCTGGCAGTCAGAAATAGATGCCTGTTCATGTTCTCAGCATTGATGTCTCTACCAGTGATGGAATTGCAAAGTGCTGTGCCTGAATCTCCCTCTCTTTCCCTTGAACACTCACTCACACACAGGTGGCTTCCAGTGCCCAATGAATTAAATGCTGAGACTTCTCAGGGAGATTAACCCTTTCCATATTGGAAATCACTTGATTTTACACCCAGACTGAAAACAGGCTGTGTAGCAGGCACAAGCTCTGCTGAATTTAAGTGGACAAGGTGATTTCCTGGCTTATTAGCATTTATTGCTTATTAGCATTAGCAAAGCCTCTTCTATTACAGCAATTAATTCTTAGGGAAGTCCTCATTTTCCACGATGTGCTTTACTTTTTTCCCCCCAAGAGGTTCTTCAGGTATCTACAGCAGGAAGGCTTCTGGAATGCAGTGTCTCCTTTCCACACTTCATTTCAGTGCAGTGATGAGTTTTGCAATTACATTCTTAATGACACAATGCTTAAAAGGTGTGGTTTTGCCTTGTTTTGTTGTGCAGGAAGGTAGATTACAAACAAAATGAAGGTATTTTACTTTGTTTTCCTTTACTGAGCACGTAGAAGTTTTAGCTGTTCCATTAAACGCACTTTTTAGGTCTTTAAAAGGACAGAAAGAATTCCTGTTTCCAAGGAAAGATATTCTTGTGCTTTAGTTTGTGGCCATTACTCCTGGAAGATGGGATTAGGAGTGGGTGCTGGAGATGCAGAGAGGGACCTGGCTGCCCCTCAGAGAGGGGTTTGGGTTCCAGGTG